CTATTTTGGTAAGTTTTTCTCAATTATGTCAACCCCAATGTCTATATTTAGCCATTGTACTTGACATTGTGAAGAAAAAGTTGTCAAAAACATATAAAACCGTTCAAATAAGGAGAAAGACATTCCACTTATTATTTTTTTATGTGCTTACCTCTCTCATGCCACATGTGCATCGTTCATGTTTTTGCATTGGAGATGCTCTAAGACTTCCCAACATTGACAAATTGAAACAATTTATAATTCTACCCCCCTGAATCTATGTTATTTAGCTATGCCACAAATTTATAACTCTCTTCACAATTAAATTTATGTTTTGACCTTTTTATCAAATTTTGTTTACCTAGATGGATATTTATTGAAAAGTGATATATTTTTATGACTTAAATAAAAATACTTTTGAACACTTTCTATATGTATACAATCTTAAATCTTAACAGCCAGAGGTTGATTTTGAAAAACGTGAAAGTCAAAATATGAACTTAATTATGAGCAAATTATATCATGGGATCAGCACAACTTTCACAAGCTCTGGGGCTTCGTCCATCCCAGAGCGACATAATTTTATGTTTAAAAGATTTCTCTGATTTCTTCTTCTCTGTTTTTCTTTTCTTCTCCAATTCTCTTCTTCTTCTTTAGAATGCTAAAAACCAATCAAGATTTTACTCTTCTTCATCTTCAATTTAAACGAATCAATCTTGGTTTTTTTCTCTACCAATTCACAACTAGAGTTTTATTATCGTAAAACAAGATACATTGCCTTATAATTGTATTTGTATTTGTTCATATTTGTATTTGACAAGTCTGTAACTCTTGTTCGAGAATCGAGATCTTCCATATATTTTCCAATTCATGTGGTTTATATTTTGAATCTAACTAAGTTTACTTTGTTGAACAAGTTATATAAAAGGACACTATAGGTACAATTTTCTAACATATGAAATATGATTACTATCTAGCTACACATACGAATAAACAATTTAATATTTGGTTAAATATATTATTGATAAGGCTTAGCCAATAAGGCACTTCATTCCTTTCCCCCCATTTCAAATTGGGATACAACATTACTTCATTAAGTTCCCCTTTTAAAGGGCTAAAAATCAAGTTATAATTACCACCACGCCCTCTACTAATCCCATTGCGTAACAGGTAATGTTTGTTCACAAATATAGTGGCAGTGTGGATGTGGAAACAACCACTGTGATATCCTTGAGTTACTTTACAGGCACGGTAAACACATTGTATGCTCAGCACCTCAGCCGTGGATTTCCAGAGCCACAAATTGATTTGAAAACTGCCGGAGTCATCATTTTTCTGATCGGCATAACTGGGAATTTCTACCACCATTATCTTCTCTCTGCCTTGAGAAGCAACAATGGTGAGAAGCAGTACAAAATACCCCATGGTGGGCTGTTCAATCTTGTGGTGTGCCCCCATTATCTTTTCGAGGTTTTAGGGTTCATTGGGATTTCGTGTGTTTCTCAGACATCATATGCATTCATGTTTGCTTTGGGCACAGCTTTTTATTTGATGGGGAGGAGTGTTTCCACTAGGAAATGGTATCTATCTAAGTTTGAAAACTTCCCCAAGGATCGGAATGCAATGATTCCTTATCTTTTTTAGGTATTTAAAGAGAACTTGTGCTATCTTGTATATTAACATGTATGAAATGCTTTCAAAGAAAAACGTGTATGAAATTGTCAAATGTCTTGTTCTGGTTTTTACTTTGGAGTTTGAACAGTTGAAAATTTGAAATGTATCTTTTCATGACATTGAGAAGTGCGTGGTATGATGGTACTTCATTGTATGTACGAGCACATTTTGTGGTACTTGAGTTGGCTGAAATAGCCACATGAACTAATGGTCAGTTTGGTACTGTTTTTTTGTGTGTGGCTGAAATGGTCAATTGTCTTGATAGGAATGTGATAAAATTCATTTCAGCGAAGCAAGTCAAAGGCTATATATATTTTACTTTCTTTCATCATTACCTTATTTAAATGATATGCAAAATCTACCAATTATTGCTACCAAATAGGACATAAGGGTGTTGGTGTTGTTAATATGGCAAAGAATCTGTTTGGCGACCTTGTTTTTCATTTATCAGCTTATTAGTAATTTTTTCACCAAACACGAAATTTTTAATTTTATGCGTTGAATTGTGTAATGCACAAAATAAGTAATATTAAAATAACTTCAATCCTTTTATTTTTTTATATAAAAGGATCTTGTATATAAATATTTTATATAAATATTTTTTTCCTTTTTATTTTATCTTTTATATGTATATTCATTTCTTTTATATTATCTTTTTTATATTAATAGCTTGTCCTTTTTATCTTTTTTTCCTTTTTTTCCTTTTGACGATATCATGTATCGATTCATGTTAGCCGACCCCAATATCGTTTGGGACTAAGGCTTGGATGTTGTTGTTGTATTACTTATTTGACTAAATTTGCTAAATTGACTAAATATGTTGTAGAAGATCATTTCGACTAGTTTTTATATAACTTGTTTTTTGTTTTAATAATAAAATATATTTTAAATATAATTTTTCTTTAAATCAACAGATTTAACTAATTTAGTTCGCTTGGGTCAAAATTCTATTAATTTCAGCAGATTCAATTTTAGTATTATGAAATGAGTTTTATTAAAAAAAAATTAAAGAGCAAGTGAAGCAAATAACACTATACCGATACCATATTTGGTAAAACATTTGACTTTAAATCGTGATATGTAGGTGTAAATAATATATTATCCATTCTTAATTAATGAAAATTATAACTAATAAGCTATAACAACACAGAATATGATGTGATTTTGTTTCATAAAAAAGGTTATTCTAGAGTTTCAAAGTTATTATGAACATCATCTTATCTTATGTGATCGGAACTTGTTTCAACAAGCACAACTATAGATGTAACCATTTAACAAACAATTAGATTGAATATTTCAACAAATATATCCCATTTTATGTGTATTATTTTGATTTGAAATAATTATTAATACAATGGTTGCAAAACATAAGTTGGATTGAGATTTAACTAGAACAAAATGAAACTATATAAACCACATATTTTTACGGGAAATAAAACATTTACTTTGAAATAATGGAAACTAAGATAGTGACAAGAGTAAATTTAGAGTCAGCTGATTATGCGTAAATTTATGAACTTCTGGCTGAAGTGACTGAATTAGTTGATTCTGCTGAATTATGAAGAAAAAAGTTAAAATATAATTAATTAAAAAGTAAAGAAAAATTATACGAAAAATAGTTTTTTTTTTTATCATATATGAAAAAATAGTTAAAATGATCTTCTATGATAACTTAGTCAGTTAGCCAATTCAGTCGGAAAAGTGACTTCAATATTACTTATTTGGATTATTACACATCTGACGTGCAAAATTAAAATTTACGTGTTTGATGAAGATGTTAGCCGCTAAAGCTGATAAGCCAAAAAATTGGATCACGAGACGGGCTTTAAATGCTTGTTCCATATCACATGCTCCGTATTTTTTAACTTTTACTGTTACCAAAAAATGAAAAACAACTTGTTGTTTTGTTTTAGGGATTTCGATTACTTATTAAAACAGAAAACCATACCAAGTGAGCCTTAAGTTAAGAAGTACTTAATTTATGACTTTGTCATAAATAAGTACTCATAGAGAGTACTCATTCCATTTAACAAGAGGGATAAGAATTATTTCTGATTTCCAATGTTATTATTAGTATGTATCTTAATCCTAGTAATGCTGAGTTTTTACTTTTGATGGCACGCAATGTTTTGTTGTTCTCCTGGGTGCTAGCAATATTCTTATACCATTTGATATTGTGTTCTTCAATAGCTAGTTCTTTTATTCCAAAAACTTGGGATAATATTGTTCTTGTGATGCCAAATTGCCAACGCAAGTGTTGTTCACTTGTTCGTAACCTAGTAATAGTAACTCAATTGGGAAACCATTCCCTAAACCAAACTCACAAAACTTTACAAAGCCAAAGCATTTGCAACAGTACCAAGTCAAACAGATAGAGATCAAATAAGTATACAAAGTCCCTCTCTAACAAGAGATAGAACCGTCTAATGAATTTGAATGCCCTAGGATGTTTTCTTTTGGACGGTTTTCAATTCTAAACCAGATCAAACAAGACTTCCGTAGTTATAAAATACACAGAGACCAGATATTTAGCAGACCAGACCAACAAATTTCAATCCAAAAGAAAACATCCCTAGTTCCAAATGCAAAATTGAGACCCCATATAAGTAGGGCTGAGCAAAACCCGATCCGACCCGAAAAATCCGATATTTTTTTTGGATATTATCCGAACCGAAGTGGATATCCGACCCGAAAAACCCGAAACCGAAAATCCGATTAGTATTGGGCCTAGACCGGGTGGCGGGTAGGGTTTGTGAAATCCCAACCCGACCCGCCCGAATATCCGAAATATATGTTAGTGTGTACTTTGAATATTTAATTTAATACTTGTGTTCAATTATTTGTGTAATTATTTGTGCAATTTGTATTAAATTATTTGTGTAAATTGAATGTGTAGTGAACTAGTGTGTACAATTTTGGTTAAAGTGGCATTCCAACACTTTAACTATCCAATTATAATGTGTTTTGATATAACCAAAATATCCAAAATATATTAAATTATGTAGTGTGTACTTTGAATATGTTAAATTAATACTTGTGTTCAATTATTTGTGTAATTATTTGTGGAATTTGTGTTAAATTATTTGTGTAATTTGGAAGTTTAGTGCACTAGTGTGTACAATTTTTGTCAATGTGGCATTTAAACACTTTAATTATCCAATTATAATTTTTTTTAATATAACCGAAATATCCGAAACCCGACCCGATATCCGATAATATCCGACTTAAAAATATCCGAAATACCCGATTTGAAATATCAAAGGGTCGGGCCTAGTATTTAAATTAAAAAACCCGAACGGGTTTAGGGTTCACAAACCCGACCCGCCCGAACCCGACCCGTGCACACCCCTACATATAAGAATAAAAATAAAATTACATATAATAACAAACTCACATAGTTCAACAAAATTAATTGTGTTCAAGTGTTCATATATAAAAAAAACATGATTTTAAATAACTGCCTATTAATACTATATAATATAACTATATTATAATACTAATATTAAAAAAATTGGGGCACCCAATTTTGGTGGCCCCTGTTCCAAATGACCTTTTGAACATGTCAAAAAATGGCCCTGGCTAGAGCCTTTCTCCAAGCCGGGATGTAACAGCTCTATAGCAAACTTTGTATCCCCACCTTTACCACACAACCTCCCTATAGCACGGGACATGTGCTCTCCTCTCAGGGTCTTCACGTCCTTAATCTCAAAAGTGTCCACATAGACCTCATCCAGCCGCAACAGTGCCATTGCATCTTTAAGATCAAAGCCTAAGATGAAAGCATGAATGAAATCTGCACACTTCTGCAAGTGGCTGATATCAGGTGTGTCGTGGCGCGTCTTAAGCTCAACCTTACGAGTCTTGAGATTCATACGGATGTCGATCTTCATCTCACTGAAGGCTTGATAGTAAATGCTCTCCTTCTCATTGTTTGCATCATACCATGCATCCTTAAGAGGCTTAATGCGGTGGGATGGAACAGAAATCTTACGGAACTGGACTTCCCCACCTGACACCTCGCTCGGGCGTAACGGGTTAAAAATGGGCTTCTCCACAGCAAGGGTAGAGCCTCCTGATGATTGCATAATTCTAGCTAGGTCCTGAACCTGGATTACAATATGAACAAACAAAGTATAGAACCTGGTATGCAACTAACACCCGTATCTTCCCGACTCCAACTAAAGGCATAGGACCATAGGTTCCACCCCTTCCTTGAGGACTTAATTCTGTGTAAGTTTGACATACTTTTCCACCAGCTGAAAAAACATTTTTGTAGACTTTTTAATAACTTGTTAGCTTTTTTACTAGATGAAAAGTTCTTAAAACAAAAAAAAACTGTAGTGGTTTGATAAAAAACTGACTCATTGAAACAGTTCTATTTGATACCACAAGTTGTTGTGAGCATCTGACAACTGTAACTACTATTAATGATGTTTTTAATTGAACTGGTTTAAAACTTCAAGTCCCAGAACAAAAATTCAAGTCAAATTAAAAAGATCCTAAGAGAAAAAACTTTCACTCCAGAGCAGTTAAGATCAGCTTATTGAAAAAAGACATCAATTTTTTGAAACAGGTCCTAATCAGAGTTGTACCAAGCATCCAACTAACATCTATTAAAAGCTTTTGAAATAATACCAAAGTTAAAAGGAAACAAGGAAGTGACAACCAAACACACACTAATCAGAGAACAATAAAGTGAGTGTAAATTACATTCTATATGGTATCGACGAATCAGATCCAAACACCCCTAAAACATCTAATAGTATACCTGATAGAAGTATACTCCGTATATGATAGGGTTGTATAGTGAAGCAGAGAAGAGATTGAAATACCTTGATAACGGCGAAGAGTCCAACAGTGGGAGACAGTGGAAAGCTTGTTAAACAGAATTTGAGTTGGGACGTTAGTCCAAATGTAAAATATTTATGGGCTATTGGGCTCATTTGTTGAGCAGAATTAGGATGTTTTTACTTGGACTGTAATTTGCCCCAGACCAGACCAGACCAGACCAGTCCAGACCAGACCAGTTCAGACCAGACCAGACCAGACCAGACCAGACTTGGATAGTTATAAAAATACAAAGAAACCAGACCTTACCAGACCAGACCAGACCAGACCAGACCAGACCAGATCAGACCAGACCAGACCAGACCAGCAAATTACAGTCCAAGTAAAAACATCCTTAGAATAGAAAGAAAGATCTTACAAATCTTTTTTTTAATATGATCTTTAAATATTCTTATAAATCTTTGTTGCCACATTATCGTCACATAAAAAATCTTAAATAATCTCAAAATATATTAAACTTCATTCAATCATGATCTCCATTTATTTAGATTTTGTACGAGTTAATTATCAAAATAGGACTAAAAGTCATTCACTTTGCACAAATAGGACCAAAAAATAAACTATGTTTCCATAGGACTAATTATGTTTGTCTTGGACAAATATACCCTTATACCTATTGGAATGTTTTAATTCATAATAAAATAATAAAAAATAATAAAAATTCGTAAAATATACCAAAAAAATAATAAAAATATTCTGAATAATAATAAATTTAAAAAAAAATTAAAAAAAAATAAAAAAAAAAATTAAAAAAAAATCAAAAAAATATTTTTTTTGTCACCGCCGCCTATACCGCCCCAGCACCACCACCTCTAGTCATTTGGGGAAAAAATGCCAAATTTATTATGAATTCCATATTTTTGGCATAATTCAGAATGATTTAAGATGGAAGAAAAAAAATGTTGGCATTCTCAAAGAGAAATATGCCATATTTTTGGCATTTTCCGAAAAAAATGGAAGTTTGTAGGAAATATGACATTTTTTTTTAACGGTCGGAGGTGGTGGTGCAGGGAGGCGGTACCACCACCTCCTGTCACCGGGGTAAAAAAATGCCAAAAAAATTATGAATGCCACATTTTTGGCAAAAGTCAAAAGGATTCAAGTTGGCAGAATGAAAATGTTGGCATTCTCATAGAGAAATATGCCATTTTTGTGGAATTTAAAAAAAAAGTGGCATTTTTTACACCGATCGGAGGTGGTGGTTCAGGGAGGTAGTACAGGCGGTGGGAAACGTATCCATATTTTTTTTAATTTTTTTTTATGGAGTTTTACTATTTTTTATTAATTTTTTTTTTTAAAAAAAAATTAAAAATTTTTTTTTCTTCTTATTTTTTATTTTATAAAAATTTTATTAATTTTTTCATTATTTTTCTACGAATTATTGAAATTTTTTCGAATTTATTATGAATTAAACATTTATTTATGACTTTTAGCTATCTTTTACTAATATTTAAAGGAGGGGTAAGAATGGAAGGAAGAAATGAGTATGTTTCCAATAGGACCACTATGGTCCTATTTTGAAAAAAAAAACATAGCAAGTCCTATTTTGAGTTTTTGTCATAGTTTTAGTCCGATTTGAAGTAATTTCTAATTTTGTACAAGACATATAAAACACATTTTAAATGAGACACATATTTACCCCATGTAAGGAGGTTGGTCGTTGCCTATGAGGTACTAACGTGAACTTAGCATAATTTTCAAAGCTTTGTATAATGAAAAAGTTGGAAATAATTTCAAATTAATCTAGATTTGATAGTTGATACCAGAATTTAAAAAATTAAATCAGGAACATTGATAAAGCTTACAAAAATTCATATAAATTGAATAAATAATCTAATAATAATATAAAAAATAATATAAATATAAAATAGATAAAATTTTAAAAACATTAAAGTAAAATAAATAAAAATTCATAAAACTGAAAATAAAATAAAAATAAAAATAAAAATAAAAACATTTTAAATGGATGTAGAATATACAATTTTTTTTTTTGAAATTTAAAAAATACTGACTTTGATATTCTGAAAAATTTTCACAATTTATGTATATATTTCTTCAAATTTTAACAATGTTTTTAGAATTTTAAGGAGTAAAGGGTCAGTTTAGTCCTCGAAGTAGCAAAAAAGGCGTCAAATAAGTCCTTATATAGAAGATTCTGTCGGGACGTGCCATTTGAGGTGGCTCCCGGTGGAATTTTGTGATAAATTTTTTTGAGCATCTTATTCATTAAGTCTAGTTACTCATACCAAATTTCAGCTAAAAATTCAATCGGGAAGACATTCAAATGAATTCTTGAAGATAACAACGCTTTTAACAGCACAGTTATCTTCAAGAATGCATTTGAATGTCTTCCCGATTGAATTTTTATCTGAAATTTGGTATGAGTAAACTAGACTTAATGAATAAGATGCTCAAAAAAATTCATCAAAAAATTCCACCGGGAGCCACCTCAAATTGCACGTCCGGACAGAATTTTCTATATAAGGACTTATTTGACCCCCTTTTTTGCAACTTCGAGGACCAAACTGACTCTTATCCCGAATTTTAAGTATTAACAACCTGCTATTACAGGTCAAAAGCAGATTAAATGGTCAAATCAATCCATTTTGTAAAGTAAGTGTACTTATATGATACTTTTTTAGTACAAGGGCTTAAGTGACGGTTTGGAAATAGCACAAGGGCTTGTTTGAATAATTTTCCTAAAATCAATACTAGCACTTATACGTAATATTAGTGAAGTAAGGTTCATATGCAGAGGAAAATGTATATTTTTTCTTTATGAAATTGTAACAAAGGGGGAGATTTAAGATTATTTGACTTGAGAATAATTAAATACTAAAATGAACGAGTTATGTGATATAAATACATGAAATAAAAGACTTAGCTTTGCTACTATATACTTAAAGTAAACTTTTAGAGGCAAACATAAAAAGGGTTGCTTCAAAAAATGCCTTTTAGGGGTAGGTACAAATTGGTTGCCCCAATTTAAGTGAAGATTATGGCTTTAGAGGCATCCATTGTTTCTGTGATGCTAAAAGAGTGCTTTAGAGACAATTATATGAAAACTGCCTCTGAGAATTGCTTCTATAAACCATTTTTTGTAGCGGCAATTTATCGATGATAGTTATTAATAACAAGATCATTCATTAATAACCATTACTAGTAGCTAAGTGTACAACACCGTCATATACCAACTTGATAGTAACATTTAATATCTTAATTCCTTTATGAAATCAAGTGAGATTGATAACCTCAACACAACGACTTCTGTTGAACCAACACAATTAATTCATCAAAGATTACTAACCATGAGATCATGCATTAATCACCCAAAATTACTTGTGAAACTATCCATGATTAACCACTAGTCCATTGATCCTTTTTAGTAGCAATTAATGTCAGAGTGTTCACTAAATGTCACTTAACAACACACCAACATTATAAAGATAGACCAAGGAAAAAATTAATATTCAAGAAAATAAGTTTAAAAAATAACTCAACTTTAACATTCAACAAGCTCCAAGAGCAAAACCAAGAAGAAAGAGTTTACCTCCTCATTTGGTGACTAAACATGGTAGACAATATAAAGAAAACACTATTTTGAACTAAGATTTAGTATATGGAAGAAGGGATATCAAAATGCGATGGACATTTTGATGAGGTTGGGTCGACCGGGTATAGAGGATACTCGATCGGGTATCCTAGACAGTAGCTACGTAAGTGTTGAAATATAGTCATACCCGACAGAGTATGTGAATATACCTGATCGAGTATATGACCAAATTTGATTTTCCAATGTCCTCTTAATTTATTTGATCTGGTCTTGTATCCTAGACAGTAGCTACGTAAGTGTTGAAATATAGTCATACCCGACAGAGTATGTGAATATACCCGATCGGGTATATGACCAAATTTGATTTTCCAATGTCCTGTTAATTTATTTGATCTAGTCTTGTACATTACCAGGTCAAATCATACTCGATCGGATATTGATTATACCCGATCAGGTGAGATACCAAATCACATATCTTGAATGATTTCTTGCTCCGTTGCACCTTCCTTTGATCTTCTTAGATCTCTTCCATGTTTCTTTGTTGATCTTTGATAGATTCTTACTCAGGACTGTTTCAAAACTAATAAATTACAATTGTAATATGCAATGAAAATCATGGATCTAAGAATCGGGCTAGGCGCCCGCCTAGGCGCCGCCTAGTCGCTAGGCGGTGGCCGGGCGCCCCGATTTTGGTGTAATCGGTCGAAAAAAATTGGTCGGGCGCCTAGGCGGGCTAGGCGTGCTCCTGGGCGGGCTAGGCGGTGGTTAAGCGGTTCAGATTAATTTTTTCCCCGATTCAACTTTTTTTTCCCCGTTTTGACTTAAAACCACGTTTGATCAATAAGAATTCTATTTGTATATAGTTTAGCTTCATATTACTACGACAAAAAACAATTTTGACATATTTATAACTTTTTAGAGTGTATATATACATTTTTAGAGACTAAAAATATACTCCCTCCGTCCCGAAAACAACCTCCCGGTTTGACTTTCACACACTTTTAGAAAATAAATTTGACTTTACAGTAGAGTGCACTGTTTTGCACTGTTTAAACACTGTTTGGCACTGTTAAACACTGTTTGGCACTGTTTAAACATTGTTTGGCATTGTTTATCACTTTTTTGATGTAGATAATTTGCCAAATAAGGAAAGTATTGAAGTGTGAAGTTAATTTTGGGACATTCATTTAAGGAAAGTGGGAAGTTGTTTTTGGGACGGAGGGAGTATAAATCTCTACATTTATCTATTAATTATTTTATTATTTATAATTTTTATACATGAACCATAATATCTAATGATTATATGATCTATTTCTATTTTCAAAATAATATATAAATTATTGGTAATATATTTAAATTTCAATGAAAATAAAAAAAAACAAAGAAATAAAGGAAAATACCTAGGTGCCCTAGTCGGCGCCTAGGCGCCCGCCTAGGTGGGCTAGGCACTAGGCGGCCAGTCACCGCCCGACTAGCGCCTAGCGCCTTTTAGAACATTGATGAAA